TTGTAATTAAAATATATTATTTTTTAAAATACTTTTTATTTTAACTTTTTTAAAGAATAATTGAATAGCTTTTGTAATTTTCTCGAACAATTGAGAAATTGAAAATTTTCCGAGACAAAACTCAGGCAAAACAAAACAAAACCAAATTTCCTTTAGCTTTTATTAGGGAATTACAATAATTTCATATAGGCCATAAAATAATACACATTTTTTGAGTCCGCTTTCGAGGATTGTTCTTATTTTTTTTTTTTTTTTTTTCTTTTTTAGTGAAACTTGGGTTGATCTGAAAATTTGTGGTTAATATTTACCTTAATGGACTTTAGTTTTCGCACAACAAAATTGTTGATTTTATTGGACCAGCTTTTGCATTTCATGAGTAGGCCGTTTCGGGGGCTGCGGGGCGGTGGGGCTGTTGGATAGGAGCTTCGATCCTGAGCCAAACAGAGCGCACGCACACACACACGGATACGAACACGGACACTAACACTGATACTGAACGTTACACGTTACAATGTAATGGGGTTTGTAATGTGTTTGTTTGGATTTTTTTTTAATTCAGTTTGCTTTTTTCTTTCTAGATTTGCATTTGTTTTGAAGAGGTTCCGTTGTATTTGGTAGGCTCTTTGCCTTGGCTTGCATTTACTTCACCATTTCTTGAGTTTACAGTTAACATTTAACAGTTATTTTGGTTTTGACTGAGTGACGAGAAAATACAATAATATTTATGTTTTTGATATTATGCTTCCTTTTACAGTTTGGCGCGCGCGTTGCGAAAAAATCCAAAAGGAGAGTGTGTAATCGAACACACAGTGAAAACAAAAAACGAGAATAAACAGAAACGACAGCCGACAGGCGATTTATTTTGTTGGCCCGTTTGTTATATATCTTGCTGCTCGCGAAGCGCACTCCGAACCAAACGGTGAAAAGTTTTAAATGATACTGAACGAGCTGGAACAAGACGCTAGCGAGTAAGCCACAGAAAATGTACACAGAGCTCTGCTACTGCTGGCAAGTGAAACACACAAACGCACACAGCCAGACAGAGAGAGAGAGAAGAGCAAAAGAGCGCGCGTTTCATTTCCAAATGGGTCGCTTGCGCTGTGCTGCTGTGGACTGTGGGCCATTCGCTGTTCAATTGCAGTGCATCAAGTCTTCCTTGCTGTCTCGCACACACACACGCATGGACACGAATTTATGTACGGACAGCGACGCCGGCGCCAAAGCAGCGCATGCACCGTTAGAGGCATTGATCGTACGCAGTGCCAAGAGGAATAGCAGAACACCAGCGACGCTGCCCCAGCTTGCCTCTTCGCCTATCATTGAGCTCTGATTTGCGTATAAAGAATCAATTAGCGTACCGTTATTTCGCCTTGCAGTTCGCTTTAACAGTTGTTGCATTATTTATGGCTAAATGACGCACTTGTTTTTGTGGCACAATTGTGACTCAGTCAGAGAGCATTTCTTTCTCGAGTGTTCGAGATTTTTGCTCTCTTTCTTCTTTTTCCCTATTGTGCATATTTGGATTTTGTTCACTGCGCCCAATTAAAGACACGAATGGAATTTCAACTATTTGCCTCCGATCGAGCTGATGCGATTCATTCTGTTGCAACGCATTCCACAGATACGCTCCACAATTCATTCGCGCGCTGTCACTTTTCACAGAGTGAAGAGAGCCAAACATGTTCCGTTTCCGAACTGTTTCTTGTTTTGGTTTCTATTTCAAAGTATGTGTATCTGTGTGAGTGTGTGCAAAGCGCGCGCATTTTTCATGCCACTGTATGTGTAGAAATTCACTTGCTAGCTGCTGCGCTGCTCTCGTTTGCTTTTTTACTACAAAACGAACGGAAGTTGAACATGCTGATGAGCGAGAGGGCAAGCATGCGAGTGCGAACGGGACGCAGCGAAAACAAAACATTAAATTTAAGGGGAAGCTTCATTTGAGGCCAGCAGCCGCTGCAGGCTGCACAGCCAGCAGCGCAGCGCAATGTGCTGCTTACGTCGCAGTCAGCGTCATTTCGTCACAATTTTTTGTAGCCGTTTCGATGTTGTCTTTCTTTCTGCTGTCGCATAAGTTGAATGCAAGTTGTGCATGATTTTTTGTTGTTTTCGTTTTGCAACAATCTAGAAATTTCACCTATGCGAATGTGTTTTATGCAGGCCCATAATCTATCTTAGCGGTACGATTAGATAATTCTACTAAAATTAACCAATTGCTACGATATGACAGGCTCTCAAGATTATGGTGACAGCTCGAGCACAGTAATCACTCGAAAAAGGCAAATCAATTAAACGGGAAATTTTCTCCGAAACTCAAATTGGCATTTTCAGTTATAAATTACTGATATAACTGGTTCTTTTTGGTAGTAAAGTCAATAAGAAATATTTTAGACTTTTCTCATGTTTGAAAGTCGAGTTATGAAAGGTCTATTTATATTATCTTGTCATATTTTGACTATTACGTATGACATAACTCTAGCATATGATAGGATATTATGAATTATTACCCCAGAGACGGTTCCCGATAAGTTTATCAACAACTCGAGTTATGAATAGGTTATAGAGCTAAAAATAGAATTTTATGTATAGACTGGTAAATTGGAACATTTTTTGCTTGACCTAATATGAGTATATAGTGTGAGTATGTTCCATATATATCATGTATTTCAGCCGAAACTATCCTACTATACCAACTGTTTTCTGGGGTATTTCGTACGTATTCAAAAGTCCCTTTGTTTGATACCAATTTCATGTCAATCGCATGTCAGAAGCTCGAGTTAGGCATAGGTATAGTCATATCTCTTGAACAACTTCTGTTGAACTTGAATCAAAACTTTGCTAGTAAGTGTGTGCACGGCTAGGTGATACTCTGTATTATAACATGTTAAATTAGTTCTTCACTCGAAAGTTTTGTAATTTACATCGAAAGTCCTAAATACGAACGTGCCAAATTTCTTTGAAATGTTATTTATTTTTCCTTAATTTTTATTAGGAACTTTGCGGTTTCTGAGTTCTGGAAACTTTCGAATCGTAATATCAGTTTGCAGTACCACTTAATTCATTTCATTCGGCTAGATTTCATAGTTCACATATGTTTTTATTTGATAGTATTTGTTATTTATGCGTAAATGTTGATTTGTTTTAGGGGATTTTTATTTTTTATTTTTAGCTAATTCATTTGTTAATGAGCAAACAAAAATTTTTTTAGTTTTTTCTCTAAATTTTATTTGATATTTTAGCCAAAAATATTTAGGAAATTAGCATTTTTAATGGGAAACAAGACGAGACACAATGTCGCCTAGGCAAAAGCTGAAAAAATATTTCATTTGCATAAAAATCGTGCAAAGCCTGAAACAAAAATCTCGGTAGATATTGATTATTGATTCTAGTTGTTGTTGTTGTCGTAGTTCGCTAAGCATCAAACAAGAAATTCCCAAAAGAAACGTTCTACTAGCTCGACACTGACTGACTGCATGATACTCGCTTCCAGTACAAAACCAAATTCTAGATTTACCAGCTTGACTTGGCTAAGAAGGAGACTAATATAGACCGACAGACTGACGGACGGAATGATAGACGGAGAGAGTGAGAGATAGAAGGACAGACAGACATACGGAAGGACAAACGTACAAGCAGATGTTGGATTGTCGGAAACGGATAAACGCACGGAAGGATAAAAGACAGATACAGAGACAGTCCGACGGAATAAGAGACGGACAGAGAGACAGATAGAAAGAAGACACATTGTCGGTGGGCTACACAGATGGATAGAGAGACAGTCCGACGAAACATATAGAAGAAGGAAAGACAGGTCTACGGAGGGCAGATTGTCGGAGATGGATGGACGGAGGGTCATAAAGGAAGCGCGACACCTGGACGAACGGACAGTCCCAGGGAAGAACAAGCCGACGAAAGGACAGCCTGTTCATGTCAGTTCATGTCAGCTCCAATCATCCATTGCACAAAACCTATATGCTCTCTTTTCGCTTCGTGAGCGGGCATCAAAACTGAAAAAAAAGCTTCGCTCACGCATTCGTCGAATCATTAGCGCGAATTTCAAACTTGATAAATGAACGCGGCGCATATTTGCTTTTTCTAACTCTTCCTCTTATATTTTTAACTTTTTTCTTTTTTTAAATTTATTTATTTTAGTTTTGTTTGCACAGAGTTCACAGTTTTATAACGCTTTGATCACTTTGTTCACCTGTTCCGTTTAATTGGCTCGCGCTCGGAGCCGGTTCCGAGTGAGTTTTTCGCTAGCTCTTTTTGTTTTCTGTTTTGTATTTTGTGTCTCAATTGAAAAGTTCAACACACACTTAGTTATCACTAAGTTAGGCCCATTAATTTAGCTTTGACCCTGGGCTGATCGCTTGCCTCCTTTATATAGTGCCTAATTATGTATTTGATTTAATTTTTCTTCCAGCTTTGGCATTTTGTGCAGTGAAAGCGCTCGGATTGGAATTTCTTGGCCAATCATTAGTTAACGAAATGGGGGATATTTTTCTATATCCATCCATAATTAAATTTACATTCATATTCATTCAAGCTGCAGGCGCTTTTTTACCCAGAGAAACAAATAGTTTCCATGGGCTGAAGGTCGTCATATCTCATAGTGACACGCAGACCTATGCATAACTCGACTTCTGCTGAAGCCACTCACTAAAAATGTTCAGTGTATGTGCGGGAATAGATGAACATAAAGCGTACCCAATTTCAGTTAGTTTGACTTTACCGAGAGCTAGTTACAGATATATATATATATACATAGGTGTTCATAAGAAATCTATTTAAAGTATCCCAAATGAATGCAATCAATGCCACAGAAATAAACATAATTTTATGAAAAGATACTTTCCATGTAAAGATATTTTTATATATGTATATCGCTGATATTCACGAGGAAAACGGCCATAAAGTTTGGAGGGCAGCATTCAATTTGCAAAGTGTTTGGCGCCATGGGGCGTGAAAATGAAATTGGCGCCAAACGAATTGGCAACGCTCAATTAAAAATATAAAGTACAACTGTGTATTAATAAATTCTAAACGCAACGTAACTTTGTTCCGAATGGAATGGAGCACTACGAGCGACCCGCAGCCCCATCGACCTGTGGGCGTATCTAAAAGATATTGCATAGCGCCTGCAATAAATAATTGACAGAGGCGCCAAACGACTGCACACCGAGGGACGAGGGGGAGGGCGCGGTCGGCTGAGAGGGTGGGGCAGCAGTTGCAATTGGCGGGAAATTTCAATTCGAAAGTTTCATTTTTTTTACAGGGGAGGAGGGGGGAAGGGGCGCATACTCGAGTGCAGGTTCAACTGGGTTATTATGGAACCCCACTGCCCACAGATACCACGTTGGGGTAGTTGCAGTTGTGCAGAGGTTACGGAGAGGGTTTGCCTAGACTTTTATTACCTGGGATTTTTCTTCAGCCACTATTTGGTATTTATATACCAAAATTCAATTTAAATAATTTCTTGTTCTTAAATTTTGTAATTGCTTTTGCTATTTTTTGTAGTTAATTAAGCTGAGAAAACTAATTAAGTTATTGCCAACACTCATATGTATGTATATAGAGGTGATACCCTGTAAATGCTTGTAATTGAATGAACATATTTATCCATACATATGTCAGATTATATTCGAGTACTACGGAGTATTACGAGATATATACAAAACTCCTTTGTATGAGAATCGCATTTATTTACATTTCTCATTTCAGTTTATAAACATTCATTTTCCCATCTCTATCTCTCTCCCCCTCTCTCTTACTCTCCCTCTCCCTCTCTCTTTTTCACTCTGATTGACCAAGCTAATCCTTCCTCCGTCTTTCTCTTTTTTCTCTCACCAATCTCTCTTTTATGTATTTCTGACTCTTTATTCGCTTCGTATTCTCTTGTCCGCTCTTACTGATTTCCTACTCCTATTCTCTCTC